GCCATATGCGGATTGCCCGATTAATGAATACAACTAGGGTGTCCGTGAAAAGCACCAAATAATCGGAAGCTCATCATAGATGTTGTTCCAAGTCCTCTTCTTGTTCCGGTATCTCCGGGTTCATCCATCGATGATTGAGGGTGAAGTAGGGTGACGGGTCGTGTTCACCAAATCGAGGTGCATAAGCGTCCGGATATTGCTGTTTATAGTCCGCATAAACCTTGAACACGGCCGACAAGGCAGCCAGTCCGGCCGCGCGATGAATGCGCATCGAGGTTGGTCCTGGAACGGAAATAGATGTAGATTCACATTCATTCAAATAAGGTGGAGGAAGAAATAGAGATCATGGCAATTTTCTACACCCAACTCACTCTGAGAATTGTCTACTGCATAGATTAGCACCCTTGGAGGGTGTGGTTAAAAAGAACTTGCGCGAATATGCAAAAAGCCCATGCGATCAAAAAAGAATAACTATTTTCAACCTATCTTTGCGCACAGCGAGATCCGCTGTGACACTGTTTCATTTTTTTACGAAAACTCCTAGTTCAGTGTAGACTGAGCACAACAACTCAATGATATCAATCAACATTAGTTGCACAGCTCTTATAATAAATGACTTCTGTCGGTGCGGAGTCGTAGCTCAGGTGGTAGAGTGTGCACTATACAAAAGCGTAGATTGCGTCCATGCGGGAGTTCGGATAGCACCGAGGTTATCCATCTTCTCACAATTCAAATATAAGACAGGTGGCTTCCGTAATAATGAATAAAAATTTATATCGAGCCGAAGGAAGTTGGTAGTCAATTGCTGCATCACATGGCATTGTGTGAAGAATAGAACGCGTTAATTCCTTAGTCACGAGGATCTACCATTTAATTTTTTTGCTACACACTTCAGTGTGATGAACAGCAGACGGAGTGAACCCCAGAGTCACGAGGACCTGCTGTTCAGTGATGGAAACCGGTAACCTAAGCCCTGGGACTTGGATTGATGAACCACATAAGGTCCTGCTAGGTAAGGCGTGGTATTGAATCGGACGGTAGCTGCCTATCATCAAAGTTGGGTGGCGGCGACCCGGCTCGAACCTCGAACCATAAGGTCCAAAGCACGCCCATGACAGTAAAGTTAACCATTGCGCCATCAACACATTGAGAATAAGCGACAAACTAGGTTCATGGACTCGGAGAGATGAACGTCATGAGGCCACTGTCGGACTGGATAGGTGTGGTGTTTAGCCGGACGACAGAGGAGTAGCCTACCACTGCAATCTGGTGGCGGCAGCGGATGAGTACCAATATGAAGAAGCATGAAAGTAGAATTAGGGGAATTCCATGTATTCGAAACTTATAGTCGTTAAGTTGAGTGAGTAACCAAAAAGAATTATTGTGGAATCCAACTAAACAAGTCGATAGATAAACCAAATTTTCATTCGAAATAATGATGGAACAAAACAATAATAAATGAGCATTTGATAGTTAGACGCTTTTTTAACCACTTAGCAGCCCATTTGCTGGGAGGTATCCCGGTTTGTTTCATAACTCTCTTGTCCCGAGAAATTATAAACCAGCTCAATTTTAAAAGTTATGGTGGCACACCGCTTTGTCCGAATTCAGATTTGAAGACTAAGTTCCTCCACCCTTCAACCAACACGACAATTCAGAATTCTGCCCAACTGCATGGAATGCGTTCTGTTGTGCTCAGCCTACAAATGCATCTTCGAACACACGCCGAGTGACATTGAGTAGTTTAATAACACCATAACCATTAAGAGGTTTCCCGAAATAAACTACCTTGTTACCATAATCGATACCTAAGTGGATGCGAGTTGAATGACTAATATCGATCAGATAATAATAACCAAGTAGAATACAGAAGCCAAAAACCACAGGTTTGCACAGTGTATCCTGGATCATTTCGCTGCATCTGCATGCATACATGCATACATGCATACTGCAGTCTATATGATCATTAATATATGGTCAGTAAATAACAGAATCATGGGCGGAGAAAGATTGCGGTCAA